GCTCGCGTCAAGCACTGGGTACGTCTCTCGTATCACTCACTACCCCAAACTATTATTATGGAAATAATAACAATAATAATAGTACTAAAGTAGTAATAGTGATAATAAGAATAAGAATAAATAACAATATCAAAATAATACTCATTATCAGGCATAAAATAAACATTAATAATAATAATAATAATAATAATAATACAGAATGTACCCAGACATCGTTTACGGTCGGGTACAGACAGGGTATCGGCTCAACGCCTTCGAGGCTTAGTCGCCCGGTGCTTGAGACCCTTCAGCCATACTCCCTCTCTCTCTCTCTCTGTCGTAGTCTGTGGATGCTGAGAGGTTAGGTAGTGAGAGGGTGAGGGAGAGATGGTGGACTTAGAAGAGGAAGGAGAAAGAACTCTCTCGCTCCCACTCACACACGCACCCACACATTTACACGCACACACACATACATACACACATACCCACATGTAGTGGTGTATTCTGATGTTCTCAGGAAAGATTCGTTAGATTTGCCTATCGTCCTAGCGGAAGTACCAAGCTTAGTTGTGCTATTAGAATGCACGCATACATACGTTAAAGGATCGATAGGACATACTCTCACCGTACGTTATTCCCTTTCCCCTCATGATTCCGCCTGTCTTCTTCTTCACCTTCTTCTTCTCTTCCTCTTCTTCTTCTACTTATGCTTCTTTCACTTCCTCTTCTTCCTTCTTCTTCTTCTTCTTCTTCTCCTTCCTCTTCTTCTCTCTTCCTCTTCTTCTTTTTTCCCCTCTCCTTTCCTACCTTCAAGATAATATCCTCTCCCTTCTGATACTTCTCCTTTCCCCCGAATGACACCCCCAATGACAAACCGCCTAGATCACCGCAACTCAGCCACCTCACGGAACCATACAGTTGGTAGGAACGACGGCGGTGCGTACAAAGGGCAGGGACATACTTAGTGCGAGCCGAAGGCTTCCCGCTTACTAGGCATTCCTAGTTCAAGATTGATGATTACAAAAGTCTATCCCTGTTATGACGAACCTTTAAGATTCATAGGATTCACCAGCGTAGCACGCGCTGTCTCAGGTATGCTTTTTTCTTTACTTTTCTCCCCTTCCCCTTTTCATCGTTCTCTCCTCCTACTTCATTCCTCTCCATCCTACCTCGCATTCTTCTCCTCCCCCTTCATTTTTCCATCTTCCTGTCTTTGTGCACGTCCGCCTGCTCCCCTTCTCTACCTCTCTCTTTCTGCCACGCACACTTATGCACTCACACACACTCATGCCCACTCGCACACACATGCACACACATCCGAGTCGATGTGAATATTTTCATGTTCTAGTAGCAAATTTATTTGATTTCGTTCGTCTTGTCGATGTAAGTAGCGTGGAACGAGTTGCGGGTCTGGCGCGCACACACGTACACACACTCACCCATAGCAGTACAGATTCCTCCGTTTTAGACCTTCCTATCGATATAGATACTATGATGAAAGTTGTGAGGAATAGGAGACTTACCTGCTTCCTCTCTCTATTTCGTTTCTCCGTCGTCGATCGTTGGACAAGGTTCGGCGCTCCTTGCTTAGCCAGATCCGTCACAATGCACAGTCTACCAGGCTATGGGCACACAATCAAGTCCAGGCGAGTATTCCAATGGCCGAGCGGCTATGAGAGAGGTGATTCGTGGTCTGGACCGTGTCACCTAATCAGCTATCACCCATCAGGAAATGACCCCCCCCTCTTCTCCAGCGCATGCCCACAGTCCTTTCTTGCTCACGTGTAAGGTCCCAAGCCCACACTCAGGATATCGCCCTCATCGACTGCAAAGTCGAGGTAAGTAGCCCTCACTTTCCTCTCCTTCTTTCTCCTTCTTTCTCCTCTTCCTCCTCCCTTCTTCCTTCTTTCTTTCTCCTTCCTCAAACTCGTTTCGTGCTTGCTTGATTCCTCCCCCTTTCTCCACTATCCTCGATCGATCGTCCCTTATCTTAGTTTGTGCCAGCCTCACTTCCCAGTCTGTCGCCTTGCTCGTTTGCCAGCGCCTCGGTTGTGCAGATACTACGAGCCGACCAAACGACTTGTAAGTGACCCCCGCACTCCACTCCTTCTCTCCATTCCCCTTCCTTCTTCTTCTTCTCCTTCCTCCATCTTTTTTTTCTCCTATTCACTGTGCTATCTCGTTGATCTGCGCGCGCTACCCCGCGCTTGTCCCCCCCTTTTTTTTTTTTTTTTTTTTTTTTTTTCCTTCGCCCTTTCTCATTCTCTTTTCGTCCTTTGCTCGTTTCTCGGCGGAAAATCCCAGCGCTGGCTCTATCGGCCCCTTTGCGATCAGCCAACTTCTTGTTGAATTTGTCTTGATCTTGGGCCAGGTTCACGGGCGCGATCCGAGAAAGTCTGGCTGCGGGGCCCAAAAACAATCGGATCTAATTAACTACAGAAGGAAGGAAATAACTAAGTACCCCGTTGTGTCAATTGCCACAATGGGGTCTAGTTGTACCTAGTCCTAACATCGAGGTCACGGGTTCGAGCCCCGCCCGACCGAAAGCAGGGAAAGTTAAAATCGAGTCTTCCAAAAAAAAAGAGTTGGCTCAGGGTTGGGCGGACGCGATCCCTGAGTTTGCAGCATGATAGTTGAGGTCCGAACCTACTGAGCTAGCTTCCATTTCCGGTAGACAGGGAGAAACTGTTGTATGAGAGTAGGAGTGGGGTCTAGCCCCACTAGTGGACCGGGTCCATTCCTAATTTCGTGTGTGTGTATGCTCATTAGCCTGTGTTTCTGTCTGACTGTTTGTTGGCTTTAGTGTGTGTGTAACCCGTAGGACACGTTCTTCGCCCGGAAGGCCCAAAGGGCCGGTACTTACTTAAAGCAACATCGTAGAGAATCGCCGCAGGGACAGAACTTACAGGCGGCGGGTAGGGTGGTACTTATACCATGGGAATGTCGGCGTGTCGAGTATCAGCGACCAAGCAATGCCTATATGTGCGTCTCTCAGTCGTACTCTATTACGTCAGTAACCAGATCAACCCCTCAACTTTCCTGGTTGAAGGGAAACAGTGTCGATCCTAACCATCGCATCGCGTGCCATAGTGATACGCGTGCTCATATGACATCCTAAGCTCATACTAGTCCCTCAAGGCGGTCGGCACAGTTGACCTGTCGATTGTTAAATCATGGTCACATACCCTTGTAAGGGTATTTGGTCCCACAGTATCCCAGGGCCTATTAAGCGACGTCCCCTTCGCCTGGAGAACTATATGCAAACAAAAGATGTTTTCCTAACAAACAAATTGTCAAATCCGAATCCTGGAATGAAATGTGGTTCAAGATTGACTTCGTCACCTCACTTTTCATTATTACTGTCGGGATTTTAACCCGGGTCTCCCACATAGCAAAATAAACTAAACGACTTGAAGTGGGGATACTTGATCCGTACAACAGTATAAGAAATAGCCAAGTATGACAACGCTCCTTTCCTTCCCCACACCCTTAAACTTTGACCCAGGTATTCGTTGGATGCTTTTAGAGTCGGTGTCCGTGTGCGAACTCATCCCTTCAATCGTGGGTCCTAACCGAGACCTTGGTTGTTCAACTCTTGTTATCACAGTCCAAAGTTGTCTGTTGTCCTGCCCGAAGCTTAATACGGGAGGAGAACGGTCTCCATCATGACCCACCACAGTCCTGCTAATCAGGCCGGAGCTGCAGCCCACCACATTGTTGCTTATCAGTGGTTACCCTCGTTGGTTGTGCAACAATGGGTTATTCATCCTATTCTTTCAAAATATATTCACGATTTTCAAGGCTAATCTCGACCCCTTCAACTCCTACTTGAATAGATTCCTTCACTGGGGTGGCCATCCCCTCTAGTCTCTCTTCTAGGCCATAGTCGAAGGGTCCGCTGTCTGGTTATCCTAGGTCAGCAGCCCACGCTGGGAGTTACGTCCCAACGATGTATGGTTAGGCTTGGTATTTTATGCCCTCAGGTTAACCCTTGAGATGGTTGAACGATGCTTCTTTCAAAATAAACTAAATAAATGAGATTTCCAATATTTGAGCAGTCGTCAGGTTGCCATTCAGGGTTATGCCCCCCAAGTCTTTGATCTTAGCTCGGTGAGGCACGCTCCTCAGGGTCATTGACATATATAAAACCAAATATTTGAATCAAAATAAAACTTGTTGACTCTTTGCTTGTCCGATCCATCAAAACAGTCATCCCATTCAAATCCATTTGCAGAAACACTGTCTTACCTCATGAGAGGTATTTGTCCATACCATAGCATGGCATTCCAATTATACAAGCGTACTCATCCCAGCATCAGATCATTCAATCTTTTGTCGTCTTTCATTCATTCACTAACCCGCCCGCTCCTCTACCACCATTTCCAGTCCTCAAAAGGATCTAAATAGTGATAGACGAAGAGAGGTACTCATCCATAAGAGAAGACTTGAAATCATAGACACGGGTACACTCACAATGTGAAAGCGTTTGTGGTCACCAGCTCATTTGCCCTTTTTCTGATCATATATATGTAAAATACAAGTATGATACAACAAGTCACATCAGTGACTCACCCTACTCACCCCCATCTTCTTCCCTGAATATTTGTGCACTACCTACTTCTAAGTTTCACACCGACCAAGTCTTAGAAGGTCTGCCTCTTTTTCCCATACTGCATCCCACTCACTCATACATTCTCTCTGCCTCTACCAAGTGCCTTAACTCACAATTTCTACCTTTTTTACCCTGAGAAAGTGATTGCCAGCTCCAACATCCTATGAAGTTCTACCCTGGCACCCTCAGGTGTCTTGGGGATTACCTGCCCATTGCTAGCTACCAGTCTTCCCTTAGAGTCCAAACTGGTCATCCCTTTCCTAATATACTCAGCCAATATGATACAACCATCCCTGAAATGTCCCTCCTTCATGCAGAAGAAGCACCCACTTCAGACTTTGTTATACCTGGGGCTCTTGGTTAGAGGCCGCCCCGAAGTCTCTGCCTGACTTTCGGCCCCTTCTGACGTTCCATGCCAGACTGTTTACTCCTCTTGATGCCCCTCCGCTGAGGCACACCCAGCCTTTCATTTTTATCTTCCTCTGAGGTAGGTGGTCCCTCGACACTTGTTTCTCCTCGTGGTCCTTCCTTTCAAACCTCAGTCTGCTCATTCATCCTACCTCCTCCTTTCTTTGACTAAGGGGTCCCCTTTCCCCCTTCAAGCAATCTGATTTCAAATCCACCTTCTTTCTGTCATTCCACCACTTTCGCGGTTTCTTTCCCTTCCTCTTGGTGGCTCGACTTGAGCTCTTCTAACTCTCTCAGTATCTCCTCCCATCTTTTCTCCCATACTTGACCCATCTTTTCTCTTTCCTTAATCTCATCATCCAGGTCTAGTCCCTGCACGCTGACCTCATAGCACAAATCTTCCACCTTTTTTTCCACCTTCTCCCTCTCAGCCACTTCATCCTCCAATTCCTTGCTTTTAAGGGTCAGGGAAGTCTCCAAAGTATTTACTTGCTTCTGCGGTTCCTCTTTCCCCCTTTTCAACTCCTCCACTTCCTTCCTCATCCCTTCCAAACTCTCTGTTAACTTGGTCACCTGGACATCCCTATCTTCCTCCTTTTTTCTTAGCCTGCTTATCTCCTTTAAGAACCCTGGGATGTAGTTCAGGAACCCTTGGGGGAAGAGCTCAGTGCTTCCCTTAAGCTCAGCCTGAAACCCTCTTCCCACTACATCCAAATCTTCTTCAATCTCTCTCATTTCATCCCCTCCTTCCATCTTTCTCAATTTCCTTGCAACCTCAGCATACTCTTCAAAAAGCCTGGTGCACTTCTCGTCCAGCATCTCGTGCAGCCCCATCATTTTCTGCAAGTTGGAGGAATGTTTGGTGCTCACCACCAGCTCTGAAAGAAACACTCTTTCAAATCTGACGTCCCAAGAGGAATTCACTGGCAGGTCATCATCTTGCAGCATTCTGATCATGTAATCCCTCCATCCTTTCTTCTTCTTCTCTATTTGAGCTATCTCTTCCTTACCCATCTGCCCTTCCTTCACCTCCTTTCTTAGCTGGGATTAACCTCCACATTCCACTTTTCTCTTTTCTGCCTCCTCAATTTTCACTTCCTTGTCCTCTTTTGGTCTAACTTCTTCCTCATCCTTTTTCTCTTTCATCTCTCTTTCATCCCCAACCGGTCTTTTTCCCTTAATTCTCTCGACCCTGGAAGCCTTTCGGCTGTTTTTTCAAAGGCGTTGGCAAACGTCCCGATCGTGGTGAAGTCGTCTCTAATTATATTATAGAGATGTTCGATTGTGAGCAAGTTATCCCCTAACTTAAACTTCCTCTGCATGCCCTTCTTAAACTCCGCCCAATCATTGTTGGCCTTCCTTACTTCTTCTACATCCGACTTGCATTCCCACCATACATACTCGTAGAGCTGAGCAAACTTCTCAGTCAAAGTTAACTGGTTGAAGATTTGGTTGAGTAATTTCAACCAATGGGATACTCTTTCTCCTTTGAACGGGAAGATATCTATTATCGGTAAGTTGGACCTTTTTATTGTTCTCCTCTCTAGTAACTTAACGATTTATGCCGCAGTGATTGGTGGCGGCCCCCCTCCATTGACCTCGTCGTCGCTCATCTTTCCCCTTTTCTTCCCTTTTCTTGCTAGACCGTAGACCCTGTCAAGACACACAAAACGACCATTGACTCATCTTTCGTTACTAACTTGACGTTTTCTTTACTTTTCTCTCAATGTTCTTATCTTAAAGGATTTCTTTATGACGTAGATTTTTCCTTTTCAATTGTTTATTTCATCCAGAAGCACCCAGTCCTAGTGCCAAAAATTTATAACCATACCGAACAACGAGAAAATATCATCTATAAATTTCTCGATACATATTTTTTTGCAGAGATTCCTCCAATAGGTCGAGCGAGCTTCTAAACGATAGATGCGTAAATACGCGTTTACTATACATAGAACATAATAGAAGTCCCCTTTTGCCAGTTTCGGCCCCATTTCTAGGTACAAACTGTAAATGACATCTGATGCCTCAAACTCGAAACCAATCTCATGAACTGATTGAGCTGCAAGTACCGCCCTTTTCACATTTTCCATTCCCCAAAACGTCTCATCAATTATGAACTTGGGAAGCGTGGTCTTAATATTCATTGTCGGATAAGTGAATTCAGTGACCCATTTTGTTTCGATTGATCGTATGACCTCTCTTTCTTCTCCCCAGTACATCTTTCGTGAAAATGCCTCAAAGCCCACTGGCAAAACGTACTTGGAAATGGGGCGACTTTCTCCTATCGCGAGGTCAATTACGTGTGCCCTCCAGAGAAGTGTTGATAGGTAGAGAGTCACTTTTACTACAGCATGTCTCTCTCTCGTGGTCCATCCAGTCTCTTCCCATAGGAAAGATTCCGGCCCTATCGGTATTCCACACCACGAGTCAATATTTTCTCCTTCATCCATCTTCCTCCTTGGTAACGTCATTTCAACCCGATAGGGACGGAATCTTTCCTATGGGTAGAGACTAGATGGACCACGAGAGAGAGACGTGCGATAGTAAAAGTGACTCTCTACCTATCAACACTTGTCGAGCGCATCGGCCCTCGCGTGAACAAGGGCCTTCCCCGCCATGTCACGCAGGAGATAAACAAAACAAAATCATCAAGAGACAACTTAGGACGATGCATAATTCATTCCGCGAGTCGCTGAGACGGTGCGCGGTCGCATCGTCCCTCGCCGCTCTGGCCGGATGCGCCAGAAATACATCTCGCGGTCCCCTACGACAGGATACGTTCTCGTAGGGCATAAGCTTCCTTCCCTAAGCGGCTGTCACCACCCTTAGGGGTGTATCCCTACCGAGCTACTGACCCACGTGCGAAAGTTTTTAGATGCAATTGCAGAGGTAGGTCAGCCGAGGGCGTTTGCTCGTTTGCCGTAGTATAGATATGTTGGTTAACGCCAAGTGGACCCAAACGTTGTTCCTTCCTTAGAGCGCTGATCTCCTAAGTACGAAGCGGACGCCGGTCGACTAGGATGGTCTCAACCAAGTGTGAAAACCACAAGGTTAATCCTAGTCCCTTAGACACATGATCAAAAGAAAGTTATGGCAACCACACATAATTTCACCAAAAAGATTCGACCGTAGTTGACAGGAACATGCCCAATCTGAAATGATAACTGAAAGAATCAGAATCATCATATTGTACATCCAACAACACGATATTAAACACAATCCGACCACCCCGGGTCGAATTCTACAAAACAATCATACAATCGTCAACGAGAAGTTGACTACCGATAATAACTCTGATGCAGTCGACAAGATAGTCGGACCTCCTTAGTTTTGACTTGATGAGATGCGTTGCCATGGTCATTCATTCCAAATAACGCCGACCTATGATCAGACACGTATACGCCTGTTTCCATACACTCTCAATCTTCATGGATGACAGGTTGCTTCGGGGATGATTCTTGGTCAGGGGCATTGATTGACGTGTTGCATGACTCTTCCTTTAGGAAGTGGTCTGTGGATACTCCTTCCCCTCGCCTGAGCCCGAAGACTCAGATCTCAGAGGTTGGGCCGTCACCACCGGGTCAACAAAGTACCACCCCCGACGAGTCGGGTCCACTCCAAGTCGATAACAGGGCCGGCTCCGAAAGCATACGAACCCCCGCCTTGGATGCTTCCTAAAGAAAAGAGAATGCGTTCACCGCAAGTAGTTTTCAATTATTATCATCCCTTCTCGGTCCATGGTAACTTAGACGTAAAGAAATTGAATGAGGTAGAGAATGAGAATCACTTGACATGCATAGATATAGAAGGTCATTCCAGATAAAATGTGTCAATCTTGGAAAAGTGCTAAGTCCAATTGACAGCATTTTCATTTTATTCAGAAGTTTTCTTTCACGGCACCCGTTGAAATTACTCATTTCAGAATTCAAGTCCTTTCGTCATGCAGGCAGGTGAAAGATAGAAGCATGACAATCCTTTTCTCCATCCCAAATAGGCAAAGTCAATCTCCATAGCAAGCATTCTCCTACCTACCTGCACAACATGCAAAGAGAACAAGTTCAAAAGAAAACAGTACAATCCCATATTCAAGTTAGACTTTTCCATTCTCATGCATGACTCACACAACTTTCCTCTACCTTGTCTTTTGAACATTCAAAACCACAACGTCAAGCAAAGTGCGGGTTCACACAGGTGTGAAGGGAAATCTGAGTCATTCGACTGACCTTGAGTGAAGTTGGATCCGGCCCACTCAAGAAAGCCAAGTAGTATTCCAGTCAAAGTTGAGTAGACGATCGTCGCTAAAGCTATAAATGTGCAGCTTACAACTCCACAACTCGTGGTCGTTCCACTGAACGACGGCCACCTCACCCTCCAAGTGCTCGAATGAGCGAAAGTCACCTCCACTGAAAGACTCAAGTGAGATAACCCTCCAGGAGGGTGTTCCCAACAATGAGTCCCATGTGACCCCAACAGTCCCAACTATACTTCCTCCACCAAGGATGCTCTCAACCAATTACAATCTCATGCCTTCTCCAGGTACCACGTACACTCACAATAGCCACCCCAATATGTCGGTTCCAATTTTCAAAATCAGTCCCACCTGGTCCCAAAATGGTCCCAGACGGTCCCACGTTACCGCCTTAGCACTGGATGGTCTCACTCTCAAATCCCGCTTCCGTTGCGCGCCACCAAAAAAATAAAGGTGGCCCTAGTTGAAACTGCATGTGCCGCGAGCCCCTTCAAAAATAAGGATGTCCTTCTGGCACAAACCTCAAGCGCTGCAACTTCAATAGTCACCTTCGCGAGCGCTCACTCCGCGTCCTCCTCATGTCACCGGCCCAGGCACCACTACCGGACAATCCCAATCGTGCATGAACGTTGGCACAACCTCCAGGTCACACTGAAATTCACCTTAACAACCGCGCACCACAAAAAAAAAATGCGGACCACTGTTTGTTGCGCCGTCAACTCGGTACAATGGCTGCCCTGCAACACTAGCGTCACATCACACACAAAACTGTCTCCACTGACGCAAAATCCGCATCAATCTTCCCTCACAATAGTGCTGCCGACACAAAAATCCGGCAGCGCTTCCGCGGCACCGCCATTAGCACTTGTGCAGCCGTCGCAAATTTTCGACAGCGCTTCCGCACCAGCGCCGTTAAAATCAATGCCGCCGCTGCAAAAATCCGGCAGCGCTTCCGCACCACCGCCATTAAAATCAATGCCGCCTCCACAAAAATCCGGCAGTGTTTTCATGCCACTGGCAAAAACACACTGCCACAGCCGTGCAAAACGCGAAGAGCCTTCCCTGCACCGCTTGTCGAAGACCTGCCGCCGCTGTGCAAAACGGGCAGAGCCTCCCCTGCACCGCTTGCCGTTGAACTGCAGCGAACAACAACACCTCCCGCGGGCACCACACAGCCCGGTGGCTATGACCACCTCACCTTTCTTCTCTCACTGCAGACCTCCACTCTCTACTCCAGCAGCTCCACCGGCAGCACTGCCCCTCCCCAGCAGTATGCACCAGCCAGCCAACATTCACTCAGATGAATGTCCCAGCAGCACTGCCACAAGTGTGATGCTGCTGGGTGGAGTGCTGGCTTTTATAGCCAGTCGAAGGCATGTGGGCAGCTGCACCTGCTCTACGGCCGCGGCCACATTCGTGGCCGTTATATTTTGTCTTTTTTCTTTCTTACTTTTTTTTTTTTTTTTTT